CTTCCTTTGAACACTTCATTATAATAAAATGTTTACCATGCTGTTCTTCATTGAATGGATCTACCGTTCAGTTTAAGTTCATAAAAGCTTAGTCTGGTCAAATAATTTATTACCTTTGTTCGTGCTCGCACGAAGTTTTTATTACGGCCATTCGGATCTATATCCAGCTCTTTCTGCCTGTTTAAAGTTGAAATGCCTTGCTCGATCTTATATTTCCTTTCTTTTTTCGGCAGGAAAAACTCAGTAGTTGGTATTGTATATTGCGTATTGTCAGCTGACCATATCGATCCCTACCTCATACCACAGCTACACTCGTACGACACTTTTTCTTTGGAGTTTCAACACCGTATGTCCAGAGGTAGTGAAGCTGTAAATGAGCGGTCTTAAATCTCTTATGGTCTTGAATGCAACCTTTTCGACTGAAGCTGTTCTCTTTAGGCTTAGCTCCACTTGCTTTCATGTGCTCCCGGCATGCAACGTCTGTTCACCCTATGCTAGATTCTGTTCACCTGATGCCCCTAAAAAGATTACGGAGCGGAGTGCAGTTTTTGCTCTTAACTCCGCTTACTTTGGTATGCGACCAACCCATTATAGATGACCGGGCTGTCAATCCTTGCTAATTCTGAAATACGTTTCCTGACTAGTAATTGCATGTCTACTCAAGCAGCGTTCCTTTCAAACCATGCCAAAGATGCTCATGTTGAGATGTTCCTGCTCATTCCGCACTCAGTCGAAATGGCAGCGCATTTCACTCGAATTTCGCTCGTATCGCTCTCGCTCCCCTTCACCTTTCCGAAAAGAGGGGTCCACTTCCTGCTGCCTATATCCCTTCCAAATTTGACAGCTTTTGGTGCAGGAGAACAGGAGCTTTGGATTCCCAATCAAAACGCGTAGACACACTTTGTGCAGCCCCTGCATTCCGTAAGTGGAGTTCACTTCGAGTTATGTGTGTTTAAGTAACAGAACTTATTCTCTGTTTATTCTTANGCAGCCCCTGCATTCCGTAAGTGGAGTTCACTTCGAGTTATGTGTGTTTAAGTAACGAACTTATTCTCTGTTTATTCTTACTTGGCTGCTCATTCTTACTAGATGGAGGCAAATCTCCGCGTAATCCCATGGCAAGCGGCAGAGGTTCTTTGCCGGCTGGAAATGGAATGGAATGTCCTTTCACTAGAAATCGTGGATGGCACGCAATAACCCTACGTTCTGTGATCGCCCGAATGTACTTATTTGTTCAAAATACCAAGAGAATATTATGCACATATGCGGTTTACTTCATAACGAAGAGTCAGCGCGCTACGTTTATGTATAAAAAGGCAGAGGAACAAAGGCATCAGCATGGGAACTGGCTTGTGGTGCAACTGGACTTCTCCTTTAGGGGTAAGGAAGGGACGATGAGGAGATGGGATGCGAAATGAGCGCTAACCAGATAAAAGATGGGTATGAGAAATGTCTAATCGCAAATCGCGCCGCGCTCGCCGCATCAGATCGTGCACATTCGCGCACTACGACGGGGAGGCTTTGATTCTCTGTGTAAAAATACAGTAGCCGCCAAGGAACCTCTGCCGCTTGCCGTGGGTAGTGATCCCTCGAATTCCATCGACGCAACGGCTGTCACCACACCCCATACTCATTATTCGACGCGCAGCACAGTTTCCATCAATCACACTGCGTGCATTCGCCTCGATTGCCACGTGGCATTGATAGCTGCGTGGAGTGCGTACACACACTCGGCCCCTCCATGTCAAAAACGGTCGGCTCTTCTCTTCGTGCATAGTCATCGTCGCAGTCGCCATCATCTACCGGCCTCGTCGACAGGAGGGCCAATTGATCGCAAGTACCAAGATCATCGCACTACCAGGGCTGGAAGGAAAAAGAAGAGGTTCCAAGGCGCAAGGAAGACAGTGGAGGTAAAGTGAGCTACGGTCAACTGCAGTTCGTGGAGGATGTGTGCGTCATGCAACCTCCAGGACGAGCGAGGGACTCGGGGCTGCGGAGACACCGGTCCGTGGGTGGCGCCCGACCACGGACACCGTGTTCGTCTCCGTCCGCGAAGGCAGCGGATCCGGTGTCCCCTAGTGACGCAGGAGCTTGCCCGTAGGTTCTTTATCGTATTTCCCTGTGTATGAAGATAAACTTAATAATCTTTATGTTTTGTATCTTTTACTAAAGAATACTTTTAATAATAATGGTAGTTGGGCAAGTCACTCTAATATCACACTCTCAGTCGGCACAGTTCTATGTACTGTTTATAGTCAATAGTTTATTTCTAAAAATATGACAAGCTCATGTGGTTGGATAGAGGCAGTAGCTTCGCAGGTGCAGCTGGGAAAAGGCAATGGGTGCCACGACATCTTTACCGCAAATCACTTGTCAAGCAGACTTCCGCATCTTCCGCGATCTTCCGTGACTTGGGGGTGTTACGATAAGTGCCGCACAGACGCGTGGCAGAGCGACGACATCAGCGCAGGTAAGGAATTCATAACCTTACGTATCCCAGTTCGCGACATCGCGAAATTACGCGGCGAAATACGTCATCCAGTAAAAATGAGCAGCCAAGTCAGAACAAACAGGGAACAAGTTATGTTACTCAAACACAAATTACTCAAAGTGGACTCCATTTACGGAATGCAGGGGCTGCACAAAGTG